AATTCCAATGTTGATCATCCTCTAATAATCCAAGCTTTTGGCATGCCTCTCTAAAAGTATTACATACCTCTCCATTRACAGTTTTTAAAAATGTGAAAGACGTTGGTCCTCGAACAGTGTGAAGTAGTATTCTTAGAAAAAAGCRYTCAGCATTGTTAGGATGAAYGGTGTACACACGACCCAAGGCTTCTGTGGCAACTGCATCCTGCCCTGAAACTGATACTCCTTGTTTTCTTTTGGAGAAGACCTTTCTGGATGCRTTCCAAGTATAATATTTTGGAACTTCGGGATATAGCAGTGTCCTTGCAAACAAATCCTGTTCACACAGCTGAAAGAATGCTGTCAAGGTTGTATTTGGTGGTTCCACAGCAACTGTTTCAGCATTATCTGTTGTAAAGTAGACTCTTTGACCATTTTCTAAATGCACACTAAGGTGAACAACAGTTGGATGGCGTTCATGAATCGGAAAACTGAAAATCCGCCAAATTGCTTCATTACTGCTGATATATCTTCCCAGCTGGTATTGAGATACTTCATCATTTCTGTTTTCATTGGAGAGTCCAAAAACAGCCATGTCACTTCCCTTGTTCACATACTTACAGATGTACTTAATGGATTTTATTGAGTTACAATATTCAACATTAATGTGTGCTTGAAACATTTTAGAAAGGAGTGGAGAATATGGAACAACCCATCTGTTGTCAACTTCTACTTCTGTGTTGCCTCTAATCTTGAGTTTTGCCGTGAAGCCACCATCTGATGGTGCTCGTCTTCTTTAGAGAGGATAACCGTCATGTCCAGTTTGTGTGTCTGTAACCAATTGTCTGGGATATTTCTTACTGCACTTGCCTTCCTTCATACATGGTGCATTCATATTAAGGTTTCCACAYGGTCCGTGAATCATATTTTTGGTCACCACTGTATAGAGGCTAGAGTCTTCAAATGGACTTGGGAATTCAGCAGATATAACATTGTCTATTTCAGTTGGATGAACTTTTTCTTTCAGCCAAATAAGATTATGGGAATGTGGAAGTCCTCGTTTCTGCCATTCAGTTGAGTACAGCCAGCATCGTGTTTCTCCAAATACATGACTCTTATTTATTACATGGATTAACTTCATTTGTT